GGCGCGTAACGTGAGAAAGTTGGTCTGGATTATTCTTGTAACCACCACAGAACGGACACATTGTTTATTTTGTTCAGTTTATTTGCTCGTTCGACTGATGTGTAACTCAACTAGAACAAACATGCGAAATGATCAAAATATTTTAAATTGCGTCTTTCCGAGAAAAATATTTACTGGTAGTAAAGTAGTTGTTGGTAGTAAAGTAGTTGTTTTTCAAAAAACTTAACTTGTCTTTGAACGTTGACGGAGTCTATTAAAATTTGTGTTCACGGATAACTTTGAATGAAGAATCGAACAGTCATAGTTAAGTTGAAAAATAAACTTAGATCACAGTATGCGTTTTCTTGCGGTACGTCCTCATGGAACGTCGCTGTTCCTGCATCAGGGATCCGACGTGTAAAATAAAATTACTTATGTGTCCTAATTGCTTCTCTACATATGCGCCCAGTATCTTAACAACCATAAACTATAAAAGGGATCTGCAACATTTCTTTCTCAGTAAAAAAGTAAATACTAGACACAACTTCACACAAAAGTATCGTTCTTTAGTTTCGGTAACAAGTGCTATGACAATCACTCAGGTGACAACCTCTCATGTGACAACAAGTAAGTTCATCACGAATTTCAAACTAATGTAACAACCATAGAACTGAAATTCTCTTTGTACAGCCGAAGTTTTAGAGAATTAACATGTTTCGTTGCTTTTAGTCAAAATAAAACGAAAAATTAGAGAATACGCAGTTCATTCTATACTGTGATAAAAATAAGTGATTCATTTAACGGGGTCCTGTTACACGTTTTTTTCTACCGTTTGGTAGAAGACAGTTTGAAGTATATATGGTAAAATGTTTTTGGCACCGCACTTGTAGTTACTACAGATTTTTAAAACTTCCTCGCTTTTCTTCATGCCCTTTTTTAAAGTTTTAATAAAATTTTCATATTTCTACCTATAACCTCGGTTTTGGTGTCAGTCAATAAAGGGCATCAAGATGTATCTGTAAAAGAATTCGATCAACTTTTTAGTCATTTTTTGACTGGGTTATTCGGCTTCGACCTACCCAATGGAATTTTGGAACAAAAAGTATTTTTAAAAGCACCTTAAACCAGATTTCGCTGGAAGAAAACATTTTCAAGGTAAAGTGTTGGTACAAAAGTTGTTCAGAATCGGATTCTTTGGAATATAAACGAAGGATTTTTCAAAATTCGTTAAACTAGATTTTCAAATTGAAAAATACAGATTTTAAACTTTCATAAAATTTAATTTTAAAATCCATTTTGGCAAGTTTTAAAAAACCTGCCATTCTTATTTCAGGGAATCTGATTCTGAAGAACTTTTGTACCAACACTTTTCCTCGAAAATGCTTCCTGCGAGCGAAAGTTGGTTAAAGATGCTTTAGAAAACCTAGTTTCACTAAAACGTACAAAATCGAGTTTTACCTCATCCGATGGAGAATTTTGCAGGCTTCAACAAGAGCTACTTTTTATTTTTCTGAGATAAAATTTGGTCGTTCAAGACATCAAAATAGTTATTTACTATAATTTGGCGCACGACGAGGAGAACAGTTCCTTCAACAGAGAAAATTGATTTCTTGAACTACCAAATTTTATTCTTCGGTTGCAGAAGCCAACAGAAAACGTTTCTGAAGCAGGTTTTCCAGGAGGTCTTTTAAAACCAAGTCATAACTCAAAACGTTGCAGGACTAATCTATCCATTATTTTTCACGGGTAGATAGTCTAGTGTTTTCTTCAAAGTGAGAACCAAGCGACTTCGTCGTTTCCATCATTTAGGCATGGCGTTGAGTTTTCTAGTAGTCTCAGGATCGGTTTTCGATGACTTTTGATACCGTCAGAAACGGACAGAAACATCGGCTATGGACGACGCTGAGTTGCATGATAATGCTTGTGTACAACAAAATCCAAGAACCTAGCGAATACCTCTATTATTAGGTATGCACAGTTTTTTACCAGTTAACTGTAACTGTAAAAACTGTAACCGCTCATAACTATAGGCAAATACTATAGAGTGAGTTAGTCTTCTACGATTTGCAGCCTTGAAATGTATGCACATCGTACAAGACTAATCGCTGTAGAATATTTGCCTACAGTTTTTAGCAGGTACAGTTATAGCAATTATACAGTTAACTGTAACTCTGTAACTAGTGCATGGCTATGTATCAGGTGGAATAAATCATTTTCGAGTATTGCCCCAGAAAGTCAAAAAACTCATAAACTCAATCACAATCGATATAAACTCGTCTCTTATACCGAAAGATATCTGACATTATGACGCTAACAGGCTATTCTGCTCGCACAAGGTGTCAGAAATCTGTAGCCAATCTAACTTTCAAATCGATTCTCTAACGCATATACTTTTCAACAAATAGTATGAGAAAGGAATAAATTTCTTTTAGATTCGTAAAGAAATTTAAACGAACGTTTTTTAGCGGCATGTTCTCACCTATTTGACCATATGAACGATACGCTGGCTATGCAAAAAGTCAAGATTAGGAATCATTTTTAAAAAATGATACCTCGTGAATACCTCGTATTGAAAGAAAAGTCCCTTCCGTGGGAATAGCTATTCATTCTAAGGAACCATTCCATCCTTACAGGAAAATTCATATGGTATACCATAATGATGTGTTGAGTTAACTATTTTAGTAAATTATCGAAACTTTATAAGTTATAATGTTCTTTCGTCTTTTAGTTACGACAGTGGTAACTGGAACAATGGCTACAACCACAGGTGGAGGAGGTAATTTTCGGAAAAACTATTGTCTTTGGACTACTTTTACTGCTACTCCAAAGCTCTGAAGTATTTTTAATTCATGTATTGTGACGAAATAGATTTAGACTGGTTAATCCGTGGTTTCAGTTAGCCATTTTGTTTGGTACTAATCGAGTTTATCGACTAGTTTGAATCATGATCTCCATAAAAAAGGAAAATTTTATCTCTTATCTTGTTAGATTTAGTCTCCGAACAAAAAAATATGCTTTGACTGACAGCCGAACGTCTAAAACTGAGGTCCAATCAAGGCTAATACGATGAACTGTACTCTGAAATAACTTTCGTGGTATCACACTTTAAAAATGTTCGGTTTTTAGCAGACTCGAAAATTGAGAGATTTCGAAGGGCTCCTAGTTTCTAATGCATATAGCTTGTACCTCTTCTTAACTGCGTCAAAATCAATGTTATTGCTTGTATATACTACAGAAAGAATTGAAAATTGAAGGGCGATATTTTTAAATTGTCTACGTTACCAAGCTCCTCTAAAGCTATCTGCCATAAACGTTTACGGTCCGCAGTGCTAATCTAAAGATATTCCTCAATAATGCAATTGCGAGCCCCGTAACTATATTCAGGAGACATACGTCTTATATTCTTGACAATATACTGTCTTGTTTAATAAAGTTCCATTATTACTTATAGGGACCTCGTCAAGTACTACATCAAGTACAATATCGATATCCAGTAAGCTGTAAACTTCTTATTGCACCCTGACTTATTCGAATAAATCGAAAAACGACTATAAACAAAACGCTTGCTGATGGTCTGACGGATGCTCGACGTCAAGCGATTAAACGATTTTTACATTAACCACAGTCAGTTATGCCAATTTTGTCATTATGATGACGAGTATAATACCGTTACGACTGATACGATGAGCAAACTTCGAAAAGTCAATCTCAGAAAATGAAGGTAATTGAAAATCAATCCTTCGAGATTGCCAGTTTGTAGAACATACCACACAGAACATATCACCGGAACAGAACGTGTTTTGATAGAAAATGAGAACTCTGTTAAAATTAGAGCGAATTCTGGATGTTGAAGCTTGTTTACAGTAACATTTCATAGCCAAAATCTTTTAACGTTCTTCATACTCATAAGTTTTGAAATAACAATTCAATTTACACCACACAATGGCAACCTCAAAGAATTTGATTTTCAATTAACTTACTTTTCTGAGAACGACTTTTCCAAGTTTGCCCAAGTTCCTCGTATCAGTTGTAACGGTATTATATTCGTCATTATGATGTCCAAATTAGCATAACTGAATGTGATTAATGTAAAAGTCGTTATATCATTCGGTGAAGGCTCCTCTTTTTTAAGTAAAAATCTATCATAATAACATTCTCTGTAGTTCTTAATGGTTCTTTTTCTACTTATAAAACAGAAACTTTTGTTACAGAGTTTGTAAGTATGTACCGATGTGCGGAACATTGCACCTATAATATCAATAAACAGCCATCGTAATTAGACAAAAACAAGCAATAGTAAAAATTTCTTTTTAAAATGTTACATATTAATAGATCAGAGATCTGAGTTCAGTTTCAAACTACACAGGCTTAGTGGTCGCATGGTCTTCTCTCATCTCTACTTCATTCGAAATTGATGGATAGGAGTGAATTGCAACGCTATTGCACCGCTGAGTTAGAAAAAACGAAAAACGAAATTAGAATTAAACTTTTCTCAAGTATTCCTTTGAATATTGGTATATACAGTTCGCTAAAAAGTGGGGTCTGTTTTTGGCCTCGGACGGCTGACCAAGGACAAAAAAGGTGTGGGCAAAGTGCCACTTTTGGACGGGATGACGACGTCTGGACGCCGCAGAAAAGACGGGTGAGGACGCTTGTCCGGACTAGTGTTGTGACTATACACCTATCGCGTTTTAATTATTTTGAATCAACATGATCGGACACCATCAAGATGACCGTCCCGATGCCCATCGTAAACAATATGTCCGGTAGCGCAACACAACGCCCTGTCTGCGGATATGAGTAAGGTTCACGAAGTGCCACTTTGCACAGAGCAACAGCGTCCAGTCATTGTTGGTTATTGGACCTCTTTGACCACTTGTCCGAACGGTCATCTTGATAGTGTCCGATAATGTTACTAGTTCCACATTTTCCCAGTCATCGTTGTGTTATCAATGATTGATTCCACTATGTTTTACTCGGACTTTTCTTCGAGAACATTGTACAATCAAATTTTAATGCGTTCATCGAGCAGATAATGCTTTTGTCATGTTATAATCTCTATCTGAAAAGGAAAAATCAGTATGAGTCAGATAGTAAATTCAGAGAATGTGCACCGCAAATTCAGCTCTCTGTCCCCTTATCTAAATAGGTCTCATTTTCGCCAGTCACAATGTAGCACTATCGGATTTTGATATAAAAGGGTTTCTCAAAAGGATTTCTTCGGATAGCTGAGAAGCTCATTTCATCATAGTTTATCCGGTTTTTTCTGCGAGAACATAATGCAATCAGCGTTAATCATTCACCTCAGACTCACTTTGTAGTTGAGATCAAAACTTACGCACAGTAGTTTTATTAAGACGTACTCTCTGTGTCTAAATCCTTTCTACTTATCATAAGAACCATATTAATAGGTTTTTCTTATGTATTTCTCAATTATGGTTTGCCATATAACTGACATTTGATCTCAGAATAAAAGTGAGAGCGGTTAAATGTTTTATAGTTCGCCTGTGAGTTTTATCGTAAAGTAATGTTTGCCATATGTGAAGAAAACGTTCACGCTTGGACTTTCAGAGAATGTATATCCGTAGATATTATCGCTAGGATCAGTTCGTTACTAGAATCTAATATTCTACGAATGAGGCAGAATGGGTGAGCCCCACTCCTCCGTGCGTCAAACAGAATCGAACTGATCATCGCTACATTCTGAGTGTCACTAACAGCAAAGCGATATTACACCGAGGATCCTCACAATTGTTATAACATCAACCTTTCATGCATTTCTCACTTCTGTTCAGATTTATTTTGAGACCTTTACACAGCAAACATTAACTGAGTCTATACACTGAGAAAGTCCCTATATTTTGTTTCATAATAAAGAAGAACCATTTTTGATATCCAAAATGAATGGAGAAAACTGCAACTGTGTGACAGTAAAATACAAAGGATTATATCTCTATTCTCACTCACTGCAAGTGCTGTGTACCTACTGTGTAAATTGGTTATTTTAATGATTTAGTTCTACTTTAAAAATGTTCAAAAAGCAGATATAAACTGCTATTGGCCTAGACCAAAGTCAAATTCTACTTTGAACTAGTCCAAAGTCTAATTTCACTTTCGCCTAGAGTTGGTTAAGGCCAAAGTCAAATTTCAGTATGAACTAGTCCAAAGTAAAATGTAATAAAAAGTGTTAGTCCAATGTGACATTGGACTGGAAACGCCAGGTGAACCTGAGATTGGACTAGTCCAAAGTACAATTTAGAATCACTCAGACCAATGTGATTGGTCCAGGCTAACGTCAAATTAAAAAAACAAATTAAAAAAGGATAATTCACGGAAGAATTGATCATTTGTACTGGAAAATTCCTTGTAATGAAACAATGTCTTGTTATGTATCTCACAGCGCACCTTGTCTCGACCACCATGACGAGTTTGTTCATGAGCTTCACGAAGTATATGATAAAATGCTTCAAACATGACAACGGTTTTTCCTGTATCAATAGCACACAGAGTATCAGCGTCAACAAGATTACTTAATCTAAAATATTTTACACACCATGCACGATGTTGCGGATCAAAACCTGTGTTTCCACCAGCCTTGCCTTGCTTTAAAACATTCATTATATCTTTACACATATTCTTTGTTATAACCCATTTCCCACGCATCTTTGACGCCAAAGTCTGAATATGTGCATCAGTCTTCGCCCTCATTAGTCACTTCAGTGATTGTCGTGGCCGCAGCCATTATCGAAAATAGATTGAATAGTAAGCAATAACAATATCAAAAAAGATTTAGTACACGAAAGAATAATGATGACACTAAACATAGCTGGTCGATATTTATAGCTGAATTTTTTCTGAGACATAGGCCATGCCAGTTTGAATAATAAGCTCGTTAAGACGAAATATAAACCCTTTGAGCTTTTATTATTAGAACTTTTGTACAACAGATTACGGGAAAGATTTTTTAGAAAATGTGTATTATTTGTAAGATTTTTAGATCTCTTTGAAGTAAAACCTTCTAATCTTTGCCGAGTGATACCATCACATTTTATTAATAGAACGTGTTCTATTTTCTAAATTAATTACACGTTTAAAATACATATTTTCTGTTTTCATTCTATTGCAGATGATAAAAGAACTTTAAACTTAATTGCCCCGCAATAAAGCTGAAGAATTTTCCAGTACAAATAATCAACTGTTTCGTGAATTATTTTTTTTTTAATTTGACGTTAGCCTAGGCCAATATCACATTGATCTGAGTGATTCTAAATTGTACTTTGGACTAGTCCAATCTCAGGCATGGCCGGCGGAAGGGGCGGGCGAAGTAGGCGACAGTCCGGAGCGCTACAAAGCAAGGGGCGCCGGAGGCGCCTTGGTTTTCTAATACTGATCAGGCGCATTTCAACAGGTACAACGTCAAAACGTAGTGTCGGACATTTCTAAATTATTGTCGTTTTCCAGACTAGTCCGGACGGAGTTCTCGGACATTTCGGACTGATTCGGACGCTGGTCAATCACTTTTTTTTCTTTGCCTGAGTAATAAACCTAAATTCGTCCGATTTTGCTATAGATATTGGTTTAATATCGATGGACATATAGTGCAATAATTACCAGTTTTCGAAAAAGGTTATTCCATCCTACTTTGATTAGTGCAGCTTACGAAAATTTATTTGTCAAATTGTTGTTCTTTCAGGTCTTTATCTTTTGGCGCTAGTTAACCATAACAGTTCAAACCGCTGTTTCCTCGTTCATACAATAAATCGATGAATATGGCGGTAGTAGGTCGGATGTATTACATTTCATGCTGCATGGATTGCAGTTATGTACGAATAAGCCCTGTGCACAATCAGTACTTGCTAACCACAGTTCATTTTTAAATGTATTTTTGTTTTTAGATTCTGTTGTATTTCCGAACACATTTTCATCATGTTCAGCTAATACTGGAATATGTACACCATTTAATGGTTTAGTAGCAAATTATTCAAATGGTAAAATAGTTTCTGCTGTTGGTTTCAGTTTTAATAACAGTATGACTGCAGTTTATGGATTAGGGATGGCCGTAAGTGACAGCATTGCATTTGGTATTAATGCATTTAATAATACAAGTACTGGCGTGTGGTCCGGTATGTTTGTGTTGGCCGATACGATAACTGGTGCATTCATTCAAAGTGATCAAGTAACATCGTTGTCTGTAAATGATTCGAGTAACTGGTTTGGAATATTTAACATGCGCAATTCTTCAAATTATACAAATGATGGATCTATCATGTATTTGAATCAAGTATGTTCAAATACATTTATTAATCCCAGTACAAATATTGGACTGAGTGCAAGTTTGCTTTTTGTCTATTATGGACAGCCATTCTACGTGGGTCCTGGCTGTCCATACTGGCAAGTACAATGGTATTGTACTTCGAATCAAAGTGCCACTATCGGAGGATGGATTCTTATTTCTGGCCAATGGACTACATTAACAACTACAACAGGGTCGAACACAGCATATACAATTACGGGATATAATCAAGGATATTTTGTAAACGGTGTACAGCAACCTTATGTTGAATGCAATCCGAATCATGTGTAGTGATGAATAATGGCTTATTTTCTAGAATTTTATGTTTGTTAAGTAACCCAGACTTGTCACTAGTATTGTTGTTCGTCAAACATTATCATATTATTGAGATCATTAAAATGTATAAGAAACACTGACAGTACTGCCTGACTAAATGTCTTGCAGCTTGTTTTTCACATCAGTATGTCCATATAGTAATAAATAAGAACACATATTTTACAAAATGCTGTCACGTCTCAAAAAACACGAGGTAGTTTTGTGCAATGATAGTTAATCACAACGTTTTTAATTGTTTGTAGGTTGCATTGTTAAGTTAACCATTTCTTATTATTTTCTTCGCCTTCGTCACTTGAGTGCATTATTTTTGGAAATGCTGATGGTACCAGTGAACTTCGTGAAGATTGCTTCCAGATATCTCACTTATCGTGGAAGAGCGACATGTGAAAGACAGGTAGCGAGAGCGAACGAAGCAACATTCCACGCACAATTGTATTAGTCACAAAGGAGTTGAAATATCGTAGCTTTTTAGGTAATTAGTTTGATATTCTGGAACTTTTCGACTTTCGGCATTCGAATTATTGAAGTAGTAGTTATTATTAACATTAAGAATCCGGGATCACAGTGATTACAAACGTATACGGAAATCATACACATACATAAATATTAGGGAGCCACTGTGTTTTTCTCTAGAAAAACTCTGCATAGAGTTAAACCTGCAAACCAAATTATTCTGAATGAAATGACCCGCTTATCACACAGTTTAACTTCAAACGCTGAAAATACCGAAAGTAATCTAGATGTGCCAACAACAAAATTCTACATTCTTACTTTTGTTTTTTCATACTTAGATGCAAATGAAAGTCATTCACAGAAACAAGATAAAACATCGCAAATTTTAGAATGTACTAGAAAGACTTGGTATCAAAAATCTGTTTTGTTTGCTGAAACTAATTTAATAAAGAAAAACAATTTATTGGTCCTAAATTTTATATAACTTTTAGGTTTCGAATACAAGGTAACGCTCGTCCGTTTAGAATCACTCGATTCCTTGACTTTGTATATCTCGAACAACCTTTCGCGACTTTGAATCAATGATAAACTTCACACGTTCCTTTCGTCGGTGTTCGCTACCTCAGTTGAGAGTCCCGGCAGAAGTCCCGTTTTCAAAAGTCCCGCTCAAAAATTCCATAGAGAGTACGGGTTCACCAGCTCACGTTTACGAACTCCGTTCAAATGAGCGAAAGAACTGTTCAAAAGTCCTTTTCGAGCGAACTGAACTTTTCGAACAGTTCTTTCGAGCGAGCTGAACTGGTCGAACAGTTCTTTTGAGCAAACTGAACGTCGACTTTGGAAGTTCTGTAATTTGGCCTAATATATCAAGATCTATCCATAGGACGTAGTTAAAACTTCTCAAGATCTATTCATAGGAACAACCAGGACCTGTCAATGCCTATTCATAC